AGGATTTTGGCGTATATGTTTCTACTGATATCTTGCTTTTATTTTATGGAGAGCTACCAGCCACGTGCCAGATTCACGAAGCTGTTGCGCAAGCACTTACGAGGACCAGATTCACGAAGCAGATACCCAAGCACTTACGAACCTGTACATCTTTTCTCTATCTTTGGCGGCTTTGTTTACAATAATCAAACAGTTAATGAGCTCTGAAGCACCAGGAGGCTGTTTATAACAATAGCAACAGTTGATTGGCAAGTTTTCATGCTTGTAAACTGTTAAATAAATGTAATCAAAGTCACCAAAGATTGAGGAAAGATGTACACATTAGTAAGTACTTGCGTAACTGCTTCGTGAATTTGCTCCTCGTAAGTGCTACCGTAACTACTTCGTGAATCTGGCCCCAGGTTTGCTTGGGAGAGGACTAGAGGAGAGAGGCTGCAGGTGAAAGTGAATATCCTTTCAGAGTGAAGACGCAGTCTTGATCGTGGGGTCTTGTAAACATTCGTCTCAAGTAGATGTTTCTAACTTTATCTTTTGTGATGAACAGGAAGATAGACGGGAGTAGACCAAGTTAGGGATCTCCGATAGACAGCTATCTGGATTGAACGACGAAGTTCAGTGTTCTCCATAGAACTGATGGAGAACAGATTGATGCCTCGGTGCATCAGGTCTGTTCAGAGATTGTTAGGAGTCATCAATGATAGATCTTGATACCTGGTTGATACCTGGTTGATGGGGTTCTGGGAGTTCATCTACTCCTCAAGCCCGGCCCGAGGCCAGGCTTGACTTGTGAGAGCTTGGTCCAACAGGCTGATTCCACCTGGTAACATTTAACTGCTCGAGAAACCTCTAAATAGTCTGTGTTTGCCCCTTGTTTCGTATATTTAAAATGAACATTCCCTGTTCCGGAAGGTTGGTCTGGGTCTTGGCTTTACATTGTCAGGAGTTCTACACTAGTACCCAAACCATGGTTGGTCTTCTGGTGTACATTTGTAAATGTCTTTAAGAATATGGGTAGTTTGGTATTTAAGAAGGGGGAAGGGAACTATTAGGGGGAAAGCACCAAGCCGTTACGACTATATAGCACTGGGAAGGGGTCAGGATAAGGATTTGGGATGGGACGGGAGGAAGGAATGGTGCCCAATCACTTGGTTGGGGATTGAACGCCGACCTGCATGAAGTGAGGCCGCCGCTCTACCGTCCAGTCGAAGTGGTTGGACAGTTGAGATACAAACTTGATATGAAAGCATTTAAGATGTATTTTCAGAAGATGGAGATGCTATAATGAGATGTAATGGTTTCTATTGCGTCTCCAGTCGGGATGACATTCTCATTATCGTTCTTTCCAAAGTGGCACACACCCTGCCAGTCTACCTGTCCCCGGGACGACACTGTGTGGGCCACCACAACTTGACAGGTCCATCTGGATGTTAGTCTACACCACCTGAGGGTTCGAAACAGTTTACACCACCTGAGGGTTCGAAACAGTTTACACCACCTGAGGGTTCGAAACAGTTTACACCACCTGAGGGTTCGAAACAGTTTACACCACCTGAGGGTTCGAAACAGTTTACACCACCTGAGGGTTCGAAACAGTTTACACCACCTGAGGGTTCGAAACAGTTTACACCACCTGAGGGTTCGAAACAGTTTACACCACCTGAGGGTTCGAAACAGTTTACACCACCTGAGGGTTCGAAACAGTTTACACCACCTGAGGGTTCGAAACAGTTTACACCACCTGAGGGTTCGAAACAGTTTACACCACCTGAGGGTTCGAAACAGTTTACACCACCTGAGGGTTCGAAACAGTTTACACCACCTGAGGGTTCGAAACAGTTTACACCACCTGAGGGTTCGAAACAGTTTACACCACCTGAGGGTTCGAAACAGTTTACACCACCTGAGGGTTCGAAACAGTTTACACCACCTGAGGGTTCGAAACAGTTTACACCACCTGAGGGTTCGAAACAGTTTACACCACCTGAGGGTTCGAAACAGTTTACACCACCTGAGGGTTCGAAACAGTTTACACCGCCTGAGGGTTCGAAACAGTTTACACCGCCTGAGGGTTCGAAACAGTTTACACCGCCTGAGGGTTCGAAACAGTTTACACCGCCTGAGGGTTCGAAACAGTTTACACCGCCTGAGGGTTCGAAACAGTTTACACCGCCTGAGGGTTCGAAACAGTTTACACCGCCTGAGGGTTCGAAACAGTTTACACCGCCTGAGGGTTCGAAACAGTTTACACCGCCTGAGGGTTCGAAACAGTTTACACCGCCTGAGGGTTCGAAACAGTTTACACCGCCTGAGGGTTCGAAACAGTTTACACCGCCTGAGGGTTCGAAACAGTTTACACCGCCTGAGGGTTCGAAACAGTCTACACCGCCTGAGGGTTCGAAACAGTTTACACCGCCTGAGGGTTCGAAACAGTTTACACCGCCTGAGGGTTCGAAACAGTTTACACCGCCTGAGGGTTCGAAACAGTTTACACCACCTGAGGGTTCGAAACAGTTTACACCACCTGAGGGTTCGAAACAGTTTACACCACCTGAGGGTTCGAAACAGTTTACACCACCTGAGGGTTCGAAACAGTTTACACCACCTGAGGGTTCGAAACAGTTTACACCACCTGAGGGTTCGAAACAGTTTACACCACCTGAGGGTTCGAAACAGTCTACACCGCCTGAGGGTTCGAAACAGTTTACACCACCTGAGGGTTCGAAACAGTCTACACCACCTGAGGGTTCGAAACAGCCTCCACCGAGGTGTTGACATTAGTTTTGATGAAGAAACTCATCAAGATAATTTACACACACACAAATCACTATAGCCTGAGGCATCAATGAACAAATTCACAAGGGCCGTGCGAGGATTCGAACCTGCGTCCGAGAGCATCCCAACGATTAACGATTAAGGCAGCGTCGTGAGATGCTCTCAGACGTAAGTTCGAATCCTCGTCACGGCCCTTGTGGATTTGTTCGTCTCAATGATCATTTATATATTACATTGGCTTCCTGACCTGCCATTAAGACGATAACAAAGAGGTTATCTTCTTCTTGAGGTTATCTTCTTCTTGAGGTTATCTTGAGTTGATTTCGGGGCTTTAGTGTCCCCGCGGCCCGGTCCTCGACCAGGCCTCCACCCCCCAGGAAGCAGCCTGTGACAGTTGACTAACTCCCAGGTACCTATTTTACTGCTAGGTAACAGAAGCATAGGGTGAAAGAAACTCTACCCATCGTTTCTCGCTGGCGCCTGGGATCGAACCCGGGACCACAGGATTACGTGTCCAGCGTGCTGTCCGCTCGGCTGACCGGCTCCCCTCCATTAGAGTCCATTAATGTTATCAATGAAATTAACATTTATCTCTTTATGTATGTTTTAATATAATTATAGAAACAAATTGATTTACATGAGAGAAATGGTAGGAAAAAAATCAAATTAGACAAATGACAAGAAAGAAAGTTATCAAGGGGAAAGCGCCAAGCCATGACGACTATATAGCACTGGGAAGGAGGTTAGGATTAGGTTAGGATTAGGTTAGGATTAGGATTTGGGATGGGATGGGGAGGAGGAATGGTGCCCCAGACACTTGGACGGTCGGGGGATTGAACGCCGACCTGCATGAAGCGAGACCGTCGCCCTACCGTCCAGCCCAAGTGGTTGGGCACCAACCTTAGACTTAAGAGCAAGAGACTACAGTAACAATATAACAAGCGGCACACGTGCTGTTGGTGGTAAGACACGGCCGCTCCTCACAAAAATGAAATGCATCATCTAATAAATATTTTCATTACAGGTGACAGAGACTTGTCTGGGATTAGTCGACGCCCGGGGGATTAGTCGACGCCCGGGGGATTAGTCTACGCCCGGGGGATTAGTCGACGCCCGGGGGATTAGTCGACGCCCGGGGGATTAGTCGACGCCCGGGGGATTAGTCGACGCCCGGGGGATGTCCATGTCCAATTTCGTATCCAGTTAATTCTTTTGTTCATTTTTTTTATTAACTTTTTGTCATATTTTAACCCATTTTTCCAGGTATGTGATTTTTTTTTATCTTCAGCTTTTATGATATTATAGACAATATATTTTAGCATTATTTAAAACACTATTCAAGCCTTTTATGTTATCCAATTTGTCAATTATATTAAATTCGGTCTAATTTAGCTCTAAAGTAACTTTTTTCCATATAGTTATTTTCATTATAACCTTTTATCCATTTGTTTCCGTCGAGGCTTCTAAGTTTATCTCAGTTATAACCCATTTTTTCCCCACGTATACCTATTTCCTCCCCCCCCCCTTGCGTTAACCTATCCCCCCCCCCTTCGTTAACCTACACTTGTTCTGTAGTTAACGAGTTACTTCTGACTTGTTCACTACTGGTGAACACGTGTTTTGATTCAACTACAGCTGTCAAATTTATTGCACTACTTATTTTTTTTTTGTATTACAATTTCAGTCAAAAATGAACTAGTTTGCGCGGGAATTTGAGGAAAAAAAAAGCTGGAAACCCAAAACGAAAAATCATGCTCTGCAACAGCTGATAAGTGTAAACAAATCCTGATATCAGCTGATTAGTATAAATGAACTCATTCATCAGGTGATTATTAATATCCTGGTCATAATTCTTTATCAGATGATCAGTATCAGTTGTGTATCAGCTGTTTACCATTAAATAAACTCACTATCAACTGGTCCTCATAAACTAATTATGAGTTTATACTTATGAAATTATGTTTATAAACAAACAAAAGCCTTCATCAGCTGATAAACATAAACAAAAGCCTTCATCAGCTGATAGACATAAACAAAAGCCTGCATCAGCTGATAGACATAAACAAAAGCCTTCATCAGCTGATAAACATAAACAAAAGCCTGCATCAGCTGATAAACATAAACAAAAGCCTTCATCAGCTGATAAACATAAACAAAAGCCTTCATCAGCTGATAGACATAAACAAAAGCCTTCATCAGCTGATAAACATAAACAAAGCCTTCATCAGCTGATAAACATAAACAAAAGCCTTCATCAGCTGATAAACATAAACAAAAGCCTTCATCAGCTGATAGACATAAACAAAAGCCTTCATCAGCTGATAAACATAAACAAAAGCCTGCATCAGCTGATAAACATAAACAAAAGCCTTCATCAGCTGATAAACATAAACAAAAGCCTCCATCAGCTGATAGACATAAACAAAAGCCTCCATCAGCTGATAAACATAAACAAAAGCCTTCATCAGCTGATAAACATAAACAAAAGCCTTCATCAGCTGATAAACATAAACAAAAGCCTTCATCAGCTGATAAACATAAACAAAAGCCTGCATCAGCTGATAAACATAAACAAAAGCCTTCATCAGCTGATAGACATAAACAAAAGCCTGCATCAGCTGATAAACATAAACAAAAGCTTTCATCAGCTGATAAACATAAACAAAAGCCTGCATCAGCTGATAAACATAAACAAAAGCCTTCATCAGCTGATAGACATAAACAAAAGCCTGCATCAGCTGATAAACATAAACAAAAGCTTTCATCAGCTGATAAACATAAACAAAAGCCTGCATCAGCTGATAAACATAAACAAAAGCCTTCATCAGCTGATAAACATAAACAAAAGCCTTCATCAGCTGATAAACATAAACAAAAGCCTTCATCAGCTGATTATTTGCATCAGAGAATTTGGCTAATTGGCTGATTAACTTTTCTTTCCGTTTCTGCCTTTGACGTCACTACATTTTTTTGGAGTGGCTCAGAGAGGGGTCTGGGTGAACTTTTATTGTATTTGTTGTCCTTAGTTTAATAATAATAATAATTATTATAATTATTATTATTATTGCACAATGAAATCACATTAGCGTGCTGTAGCAATGAAAAAAAAAATCAGGAGTCGAACCCACACCTAATCTTGAGATGGTTTCGGGGCTTAGCGTCCTCGCGGCCCAGTCCTCCTCGACCAGACCTTCTCATTGCTGGACTGGTCACTGAGTGGGCTTCAGTGGAAGCTTCAGGTCTCTCTTCCGACCCACTAAAGGTTTCGGTTGACTCTCGGGTTGCATTGCTTTTAACCATGTCGTGGCGGAGTGGTCTACGTCGTGAGCTTGGGCGTGCCAAGTGTGGCACACTTGGTGCCGAGAACATGGCCCTCTACCATGGCACCATGGAGGTTTCCCTCTACATTGTAAACTCATCATGGCACCATGGAGGCTTCCTTCCACATTGTAAACTCATCATGGCACCATGGAGGCTTCCCTCTACATTGTAAACTCATCATGGCACCATGGAGGCTTCCCTCTAAATTTTAAACTCATCATGGCACCATGGAGGCTTCCCTCTACATTGTAAACTCATCATGGCACCATGGAGGCTTCCCTCTAAATTTTAAACTCATCATGGCACCATGGAGGCTTCCCTCCACCTTGTAAACTCATCATGGCACCATGTCCTCTCTACACCACAGCTGGAGTTTACTATGGCATAGTGCAGGAATCACTCTACCATAGGAACTTACAGTTTAGTGCCACCATTTAAAATTGCCATGGCACTTTGCACAACACTATGGCAGATTATAATGGCACCATTAAATAAGAAATAGCAGGGAGTTTAAGGGGAAACATTGCTTTAGATGGAAACAAATGGCAGAGTGATCGCGAGATACTGAACGCGAGGTATACCTAGAATGAAGGCGAGGTATACCTAGAATGAACGCGAGGTATACCTAGAATGAACGCGAGGTATACCTAGAATGAACGCGAGGTATACCTAGAATGAACGCGAGGTATACCTAGAATGAACGCGAGGTATACCTAGAATGAACGCGAGGTATACCTAGAAAGAACGCGAGGTATACCTAGAATGAACGCGAGGTATACCTAGAATGAACGCGAGGTATACCTAGAATGAACGCGAGGTATACCTAGAATGAACGCGAGGTATACCTAGAAAGAACGCGAAGTATACCTAGAAAGAACGCGAAATATACCTGGCTTAATCAACAGTTTACCGAGAATATGAGAGATTGGAAGCAGAACAGAGAAATAGTAATGCCTGTAGACTGTGATAAGATAAATTAGTTGGATATACGTTATATGTAATGTCCTGAAATTAGTATAGCGTCCACTTCACAAAATATCTGTGGTAGCTTATCTAAGAGTACATATGATATGTGATAGTACATAAGTGTATTTACATGTTTGACTACGTTTATGCATTTTGTACAAGTTTGAGAGAGTTTGTGTATACTTCAGAACTTAATGAGGTTTGTGAAAGTGAATAAGTTAATGAACAAAGAGTGTGTGTGTGTGTGTGTGTGTGTGTGTGTATTAGTCTGTTGTTGTTTGTGTAAGCAAGTGAACTGAGAATTTGTTTAAGTTTTGTAAAAGTGTGTAAGTGTGTTTATGTTTGTAAGTGTAATTTGTAAACATTTGCATAAGTTTGTAAGAATTTGTATATACAATTGAGATTGTAAAAGGCTTAGAAAGTACACATGAGTGAGTACAATTATGAAATGAGTATTTGTGTAAGTTGTATTAAAGTTTGTGAATGTAATTATCTGTGTGTGTAAGTTTCTACATGTTACGTATATAAGGAAGAGTTTATATGTGTAGTGAAATTTTGCGTAAGAGTGTGTAATTATATGTGTTTAAGATTATGCATTTTTGAACAAGTTTGAGAACGTTAGTAAGTTATTGAACAGATAGAATGCGTGCGTGTGTAAGTCTCTAAGCATTTGCCTAAGTTGTATAAGTTTGGGAATGTAATTTTAAGTTTGCGAGAATAATTGTAATTGTAAGCATTTGTATCTGAGAATTCGATATTAAAGTTCTGGTGTGTATCTGTAAGCGTTCTTAGGGAAAATAAATGAACACATGATGAATCAGAGAGAATAACACGATTCTTTAAATAAGATTTGTTAGGTAAAATAAGTTTGCTAAGTTTTGCCAGTTACGTGTTCCTTTGTGTTAAGTTGATGGAAAGTTATGTCAGAGAGATATAATATAATGTTCTAAAAAGTTATTTTAAATATTGTTATTGAGCTAAAAGATATTTTTAAAAAATTTCCATTACAAGATATGTCTTTGGTAGACGCTTGCTTTACTTATATATATGACCAGAGAAAAATCTATTACTTAATGGTAGCTAAGTAACTAAGAAATGATAGATATGTTACAGAGAAGTGAGGTATATTGTGACATAAGAGATGTTATTAACAAGTTTTGACAGTAATTTTTTTTAGTGAACTTGTACTACTACATAAAAGTAAATTATTTGTATTGATTTTTATTTGAAGTGTAAGTTTATCAGTACATAAAGTTGCACTTGTTTACGTTTGATATGATACTTAAAGTTGTTTGAGGCTACACATGTGTAAACTGTCTTAGTTTACACACGTCTTGAAAACGTGTCCTTCACTACTTATTGAATGAAGAACATCGTTACATATGAATTTAATTCATGCTTGAAGAAGTCCTAGAGCCAAAAGTCCTATATAAGAACTTTATATAGTAGAAGTCCTATGTAAAGTCACCCTATAGAGTACAAATGACAATTAAAGTGATCTTGGAACGTATTATTGTGGTCTTGGAGAGATTCTTTAAATTCACGAAGATATTTAGAGAGTATTCTTAAATACAACATAGAGTATTTTAATGCATGAAGAGTGATCTTGATGACTCTTGAGTGCGACTTTGAATGTGTGAAGTTGTCTTAGAAAGTTTCTGTAATACACGAAGTTGTCTTGAAAAAGAATCTTTGACGCACGAAAATGTCTTAAAAAGTATCTTTGATGCACGAAAATGTCTTAAAAAGTATCTTTGATGCACGAAGATGAGTTGGAGATTACCTTTGATGACTATGACAAAAAAAATTTATGTGTCTGAGAATGATTTTTGATGGCATGAGTAGTATTTTGATGATGCGCAAAGATTTTTCGGAGAGTAACGTTTTGGTTAAGAAATAATGAATAAATTATCTTTTGAGTATTTTCTTACTCAACGAAGTATAATGTTAGTTATGAACAGTGTTGAAAGAAGTTACATTTGCCTATTTTCAGTTGAGCGAAAGAGTTATTTTAGTTAAGAAAGAGTTGCAAGAAGTTAAATTTTACTATTTTCACTTGAGAGAAGTTTTATTTTAGTTAAGAAATGATATAATGATGACAAACGTAACAATTTTGTCTTACTCAACGACGCATAACGGTAGTTAAGAAACGTTAAGAAAAGATTGTCTTATTAAATGTGTTACTGTATAAAGTGCAGATGTGTTTAAGAACAGTGCTGATAAGAAATAATAAGTTGTTAAGCAGAAATACATTAACAGAGTTGTTTGAAAATAAATCTAAGTAAATGACTAAATTAATATTTTGTAACAAATTGTAAATTGATATATGAATTGTAACTAAATTTGTCGGGGAAGCTGTAATGCTGTTGATATTTGACAAAGAACTAGTTACTAAATGACAGAAACAATTGTATACTTGATTTTAAAGAACATTTAAGAAAATGTGATGAACACAGTGAACATGCGGGGGATATGAAAACATGAAAAAACGAATATGCAGAGTATACGAAGGATGAATAACGAACTTATGAAGAACATTCCAAGAACATTATGAGAACATGACAACACATGGAACATGAGGGGTATTTGTAGAGAACATGAAAGAGAACGCGATAAACGCAGTGAATATTCGGAAATATGAACTGAACTTGCAGAGAACATGCTGTAAAACATTTTCAGAACATGAAGAGAACATATAAATATGGAATGACTATAACAAGAGTATAATTATGGAATAACTATGAGAGGGGGAGGGAAGAGGGAGATAAGGGGTGATATGACCGTGTAATAATTAATGAGCGAGTGATTATTGACACAGATAAGTAAAACAAGAGTATTGATTGAGAGCTTATGTGAACTTTGATAAGGTGATAGGCTGGAGCGAGTCTCGTGTTCTGGAAGAACTAAGTGTGATGAACATTGAACTAAGGCGGAGGACAAGAGTTGGAGCTCGGTAATTGCTTTCATTTAGTTTACAGGATCTGAAATACGCATGTTTTTAAATTTTGCGGAAAAAATAAAAAAAATTTATTTTTTTATTTTAAATTGATAACAAATTACGCAAGTGAACTAAGACGGGGAAAAAAATATGGAACTGGGTATCTAAATGGCTGAATTTTACTACGTCTGAAATACAGCTGTTTTAAATTTGAGGGGAATTGATCGGTTCAATCACACAATAGTTGCACGAGTGAACTAGGGGCGGCGGACACGAGATGATTCTTGATATTGGCTTTGATTTATTTCACTACGTCCGAAATACAGCGGTTTTAAATTTGAAGATAATTGGAGAGGTACTAACGAAGTTACATGAGTAAAGTAAGGAGGGGGGGACAAGAGCTGGAGCTTGGTTACTGTTTTGATTTTATTTACTGCATTTGAAGTAACTGTTTTATATCTCGAAGAAATTGATTGGATAATAGCGGAGTTGTTCGAATGAAGTAAGGCAAAGGACAAGAGATAGAAATCTGTAACATTTTCTTTCCTTACTCTGTCTGAAGTATGACTGTTGTAAATTGGGCTAAAATTGGGCTAATAGTAGTGAAACTACACAGCCCGCCAGACACACACCGAAACTACGACGTTGGTACAACGTTCGAACAAGTTTTAACACCACCTAACGAGTTATAACAACCAATATAGCAAGTTGTAACAACGTTCTTATACGTCATAAACACGTTAAGCCAAGATGTAACAACTTTATCACAAGTTGTAACAAGCGGAAAGTAGAGACAATTACGGTTTGTGTTTCCAGGGTTATAACTGTAGAGAGCCGGGTCCAAGAACTGACTTCTGATACCATGATTTATATTTTTAAATCGGGAACTTAAGTTTGTAGAGTTTATTCTTGTTTACATAAGATTTCTTTAAGACCACAAGTATAAATAAAACTGTAAATAAATAGAGCTGGGTCCAGGAACTAACATCGGATGAACTTTTAACAAATATCTGCTAAAGTCAGTAGAGTTTATTTTTATTGATAAGAATTGTTTAAAACTGCAGAGAGGATTTAAACTCTGAAAAATTTCGGTCTTAACCTGGTCTCTGAAATTTTAGGTCTTAAACTAGACTCTGAAAATATTCGGTCTTAAACTGATCACTGAAAAATTTGGGTCTTAAACTAGACTCTAAAGAAAATAGAATACCCCCCCCCCCCATGAGAATTCCTTACGAACGCAGCGACGAATTCGCCCTGAATTTCC